TTTCAGGTATAATTATATTCTTCCTCGTTTCTTGATCCTGTGTAGCTGGTGTACGAATCTCTGTGATTTATTAATTTTGTGATGAGAAAATTGATGCTCAATGTGTTGGGGGAAGCATTCATTATATTCTACAACATATCTTTATATCCGCACGAAAAACGAACGAAGCTTTGACTTACCGAAACCGAATATATGAAGACAAACTCAAGCTTTTCCATTCTTCATTTGAAACCAATTAGTTCTTCAATTAAAACCTTTGAAAATTATCAAAAGAAAGTTGGCATTTCTGAAATCGGAACACAAGTTAAAAGAAATCAGAAAATAGAAATAAGTGGAGGCAGGTGTTTGACACTTTCTCCCGAATTTGATCCTCATTGGTGCTAACCGTTTTTGACAATCACCTTCCAAGATGCATCGGTCACGTCTCGTAGTCTCGTAATAGGAGCATTCCAAATTACGTAGACCAACGAACTTGAAACGAAATTTTTCTCTTTACCAAGAAATGAGTTTTATGCAAGAAAAACACACTTTGATGAAGTTTTTTTTTTTGCAACACAAATGAAATATATTATATGGAAATGTTTGTCTCAAAAGAGACAACCATAGGATCTATAATAGTAGTTGGAAATGTTTGTCTCAAAAGACACAACCACAGCACACCTTTTGAAATTTATCTTTATATATGAAAGACACCCATACACCACACCCATAGGAAAATAATTACACCAAAAGTCATGAACTTTCGTATGGAAAGACACAACTTTCCATCCAAATATTTTCTAGAATATTCTATAATATTTTAAACGATTTTTCAACAAATTCAAGTATTTGAATTTGGCTTAATTTCTCATTAGCCAAATAACGAATTCCACTTAAATAATCATTGAAAATTGGTTTCCAACGCAATGATGGCTTGGAAGTTTTCGATTTTAAATTAGAATGTTTTAAAGGGCACTAATCCCTTTCTGGTTAAAATAATTTTATTTTTTATTATAAATTTATACTCGAGACCTGGAGTGGTTTACATATTAGCACGTGTTTAAATATGCCATACTTATTTTTGAGTGCTGAGTTTTTATGGTGCAAAATGCTAAAGATATTATGAGTTGTACATAGTTCTTATTTGAAGCTAACGATTATAAATGATTAACTGGGAACTCTCTTATAAGTAAATCGAGGCTAAATTTTTATTATTTTTCTCAGTTTGCTACTGCATTACATACTCTTTTCAAAAGATTCAGCAGGTCCTGTTGTCTATCCGATTTTACATGTGTACAATGTAAATTATGTAATTGAATTTGTTTATTTGGAAAGTAGTTCAAGGGTATTCAAAATTATAAGCACTTTTAGGTTACAATTTTGGAAAAGTTAATGACATTATGGTTCACTTCTTTTAAATTTATTCTTGTTTTTCTTAGGGGTGTCCAAAAGTCCCGAACCGGACCGAACCGAACCCGAACCGAACCGAACCGAGCGGTTCTTCATAAATTAAATACCCGAACGGGTACCCGAATCGAGAACCGATGGGTTTGGGTCGGGTCTCGGGTCTAGACAAAGAACC